GCTTTCACTTCAAGTTTATATCTGATTCTTGCAACACGTTAAATTAAATATGAGTTTTACATTTAAGTTAGTTTACTGCAAATCTAACAAAGTTTATCATCAAAAGCTTAAAGTTAGAGTGCCACTCCTATAAATGAGTTTATCTACGGTGGTGAATTCAGTACCCTTTATATCTTTTTACATTTATCTTCTCATCAGTGTTTTGCTTAACTGAGGAAGTCTGCTGAAATAAGTCCGGCTCTTACCTGATGCATTGATTGGTGAAAATGTCACTGATCCTAAACCAGTTGCAATCACAGCAAATTGTGCTGTAACAATAGGTTCATTTGTGGTTACGACCAAATAGTATGTTGTCACATTATTGAGCCAAATGTATAGACGAAATTGCTGATTGCCAGCACCGTCATTATTGCTTGCTAGTAAACTTAGTGATGGTTTTAGAGGCATGAAAACGTTCTTGTACATATTAGCATAAGTATCCATGCTACTAATCGATTTAAAAGAATAATATCCAGTAATAGAGATGCCCAAAGTGAAAATTTGATAATAGTAGGCAGATGTTGAACAGTTGCTTACACTACAAAACTGTTCACTAGTGTTAGTCAGCTCTGATAAATATTGTGAAGTAATGACATTTGTAGTGCCTAATCAGAGAAAAATGAGAAAATTACACTCTTAATTCGACATCGTATTATCAGTTTATGATGATCAATACAAAATGTTAATACTCATCTATTTAGAATTTTAAAAAGGTGAGAAAAAAATAAGAGTGTTGATTACAGTTAAGACATTTTCTCGCAAATATGATGAACACAATGGCAATGCTGCAAGTCGGAGGACATTTGTTCCTGCATACCATTTGATTTAACAGATAAATTATCGCCTTGTTTAGTCGAAACTGAAAGCTCAGCTAAATTTTATTCGAAGAAAGGAAAAACTTTGTTTGATTTATTTCCAGCGGTTTCACATATATAGCTTCATATAAATGCAAATGTATGAAAAATCGTCAAGGATTAATGGAATTATGACTTTCTTTTAACAATAAAGTTGCATAGGTAGGTTCTTGTCACCTTCCGTAATTGTACTTTTTGAGGTACCTGATATCTATGGAATGTAACTATTGCATATTTAACAAATGCTAGCTTAGGGATGAGAAAATAGAGGAGAGATCAACGTGGGAATGAATATTACAGAGGAATAAACACATAATAAAGCAATGACACAACAAGATAAAGCGGAAAAGGAGAAGGAAGGCGATATTGATATCGATATCGTTCAATGATTGCCGTCAGATCGAATGAGCTTGTGGAGCCTTTGTGCAATATACAGAAGATCAGAAAGGATATCTTGAATCAATGAAGAGAATGAGTGATTTTTTCATGAAGAATCGTGCTTAGTATAAAATGCTCCATAAGTTTAAACATGAGTTCGTTCACTTCTATGCGAAATAAATACATCAAGTGCTAATATTCATCATCGGCAGAAGTTAAATTTTTCGAAACAAGCAAGTGAAGACATAAAGTAAAACTATATGTTATATTCAAATAGTGTCAGAATGTGTCTCAAATCCTCACCTTATTGATTCATGGATCTTCACGAAACTCGAAAATCTCTAGAAAACTGGAAATTACTCGAATGTGACAATGGTAGTGTTGACATATCATCGGATAATCGATTAAATTTTGTCTATTTCTCGAAACGTTAAATGTGTTTACAAAGATAAACATTTTAGTGGACTTTCTGGAAAGAAAAGACAATGCTCATTTTATTTTCATTAGAAGACTGCCTAGATATGTACTTAGGCCTAAACATAACTAATAACAAACACCTTAGCTTCAATTAGAGTGAATAGGTTCACACTTTAACTTTAGTTTGAAGTTATAATCACAGTGCTGCTTTAAGCTTCAAAACTTAAAGTGACAGTGAGCGGAGTACCTGTGGCCAGAACTTAAAATAAAACTTGAAGCACTTCAAACTTGAATTTTCTCAAAGTGAGAGTAAAAGTTGATTCTTTCTCACAGAAATGTTTCCATCCCAAACTTATCTTTTTCAAAAACAAATAAATATAAGGAGAAAAGTTTCTCTTCGCTATAACTGCTTTTAAATTAAACAAACTCTTTTTCAAACTGAATCCAATCCCTCTTTCGCAAAAAACATTTTTGCCGTAATGTCTACTGTAAGTTACACGTGTCACAGCTCTAAATCAGTTCATCTAGGGTAGTGCATTCACTACCCTCCATATTTTTATACTTACATTCATCTTTTCATCAGTATTTTGTTTAATTAAAGAAGTGCTCTGAAATAAATCGGGCTCTTACCTGATGCATTCATCGGTGAAAATGTCACCGATGCTAAACCAGTTGTAATCACGGTAAAGTGTCCTGTAATGGTAGGCTTATTTGTGGTTACAACTAAATAGTATGTTATCGTATTATCAAGCCAAATGTATAAACGGAATTGCTGATTGCCAGCACCGTCATTGTTGCTTGCTAGTAAATGTTTTGATGAATCTGGAGGAACGAAACTGTCGTTGTACATATAACCATAAGTATCTATGTTACTGATCGATTTAAAAGAATAGTATCCAGAGATAGAGATGTTCAAACGAAACGCTTGATAATAGTAGGCTGAATCTGAACAGTCACCCACGCGACAAAACTGTTCACTGGCGTTAGTCAGCACTGATGAACATTGAGAGATGATAAGGCTTGTAATGTCTAATCAGAGAAAAACGAGAAAAGTACACTCTTAATTTGACATCGTATTATCAGTTTATGACGATCAATACAAAATGTTAATGCTCATCTATTTAGAATTTTAAAAAGGTGAGAAATAAATAAGAGTATTGATTACCTTTAAGACATTTTCTCATAGATATGATGAACACCATGGCAATGCTGCAAGTCGAAGGACATTTTTTCCTGCATACTATTTGATTCAATAGATAAATTATCGCCTTGTTTAGTCGAAATTAAAAGCTCAACTAGATTTTATTCGAGGAAAGAAAAAACTTTATTTGATTTGTTTTCATCTATTTCACATATATAGCTTCACATAAATGTAAACATATGAAAAATCATCAAGGATTAATGGAATTATGATTTTCTTTTAAAAATAAAGTTGCATAGGTAGGTTCTTGTCACTTTTGTAATTGTATTTCTTGAGGTATCTGAAGTGGCTACCTGTCATTTGTGAACATGAAAAAGATAAATTTTAAGTGAGTTGAAATTTTTAAAATTTCGTTTGATTTAAATCTGATAGTTTCATTGATTTTTTGTAAAACGATTACAATTTAAATTCAACTTTTAAACTGCGAGCGAATATTGAAAGTAAATTGTTTTAAAAGATTTTTATAAAAATTTATTTTTCTTACTAAGCATGCTGCAATTTGCAGAGGACGTTAGATTTAAGTAGAATTAAAATTGTCCTGTGAATCTAGATTTGAAGAATTTCAATAGAAGTCAAAAATAGAATGTACTAGCTATTTTTTTCTTTTGTTATTGATAAACTAATTCTCATAGTGCACGAGCAAGGGTCGTCGATCTGGGCTAAACTAAGAACGACTTTAATTAAGGACAAAGCGAGTTTTTAAGGAGACTGTATCGTAACTTTGTTGTGATAATTTGATATTGGTTCTGCCTGTGATGCTGGCGAATCGAACTATATTCGCCAAGAGAAGGCGCTCATTAACATTTGTAATTCTGAACCGTCTTGTTTAAAACATCATTTCTTGTATTTATGATTTTTGTATATAAATACTTTTGCATCCCAATCAATTATATCCATTCAATGTTCGATTCCATTTTACTATCATAATTATGTAATCTGTTCAAAATCAAATACAGCTGAAGGCCTTTATAGTAACAATGATGTCTGACGGACTCTATAAATTACAGTCAATTAAGAATAAGAAAAGCACTATTGTAGTTTAGCGCACTCTACAAATTGCAGATCGTTAAATTGAAATAATGAAACTCAATCTTTAGTGAACTCTATACATTTCAACAGCTTTAAAAATATAACTGAAGTTTTAATTTGTTTTAAAATTCATATCAGTAAATATTTTTTGAAATTTAAAACCGAAAATTTTAGACTTACAATTATATTAAATTTGAATAAATTAAATTTAGAAAACAACTGAAATTGAATTTAATAGATTTTTAGTTTCAATTTTATGTTCGCAAATGAGAGGACACGCGTGTTCTATAATGAGTAGGATTCTCACCTGACGCATTCATTGGAGAAAATGTGACTGGTGCTAAACCAGTTACATTTATTGAAAATGATCCTGTTACAGTTCGGTTAAATGTTGTTACAACCAAAAAGTATGTTGATGCAGTATCAAGCCAAATGTATAAACGGAATTGCTGATTGCTGGCACTGTTATTATTGCTTGCTAATAAATTTTGTGATGGATCTGGAGGAACGAAACTGTTGTTGTACATATAACCATAAGTGTCTATGTTACTGATCGATTTGAAAGAATAGTATCCAGAGATAGAGATGTTTAAACGAAATGCTTGATAATAGTAGGCTGAGTCGACACAGTAGCCTATACGACAAAACTGTTCATTAGCGTCAGTCAGCATTGATGAATATTGTGAAGTGACCAACCTTGTAGTACCTAATCAGAGGAAAATGAGAAAACTGCACTCTTAACTAAACATAGAACTATCATTTTATGATAATCTATAGAAAAAGGTAAGGACTATTTATTTAGAATTTTCTAAACTTAACGAGGGAACATTTCTGACTGATACGCATCGTTCGAGCTCACAATTTTTTGGTGGATAGGATTTATTATATGTATAAAATAACTGAAATGATTTCTGCTAATGTTGCTTGGTTTGTAAATGATGAGCGAAGCCAATCCATGATAAATGGTGCTACTATCTATGGGTTAATTTGTGTTATTTTCATATTCTATCTAGAATACACTGTTTGGGATTAAACACTTCATTACAAAACATAGCTGATGTGGTTTAAATACGAAAATGGCTTCTCAATCCATATATTAAATGAACGACAAAATAGTGCGCAGACAGAGGCACAATCTAGCGATGGTACGAATCCTTTCAGTTCTTTTAAACATATAATAAAGCTTATCTGCTAATGAAGTATGAGCTCGCATGAAGTGTATCAGTCAGGAAGTTTTCTTTCTGAGCAGAGAAGAAGTGCATTGATGTCGGTGAGGATACAGTTACATAGATGTGATAAACGTCATATTAAAAGTACAAGTCATACGTAGCCTGTTCATGCATCACAGTTGATCCAAAAAAAAAGAGTTTCTAATTATTATTTCGGAATGAGACGCTCGACAAAGTTGCGCTAAGAAAAGGAAAAACTCTTCTTGACTTATTTCCCAGCTGTTTTACAAATTTTGCTACACATTTATACAAAACTATGAAAAATGGACGAGAGTTTTTAGAATTATGAGACTTTCGAAACAATAAAGACACGTCGTCTCATAATTTACATAGACTAACGACAGAACAGATAGGTAGGCTTTCTCAATCCGCTATAATTGGTTTTATCCAAGTACTTGATATCTTCTGGATGTAACTACTTCACGTTCAGCACATACTCATAAAGGAGAGAGTGCTAATGAGAGATGAGCACGAGAATGAATACTACAGGGAACTTAGTGCATTAGAAAAGAGTGTTAGAGCAAGATAAGGAGAAAAGAGAAGAAATGTGAACGAAAAGCCAAATGGATAGCGGCAACTGATGCCATTAGATCAGCCGTGCTTGTGGGCCTCTGTAAAGTATACAAAACATCAGAAAGGATCACTTGAACCAGATAAGAGAAGGGGCAATTTTTTTTATTGAGTGCTATACTGTGACTAAAACATGCCATCACTAAAAATATAGATTCATTCACTCAAAGTGAAAAAAAATGCATGGTGTATGCATATTTATGATAGACGGAACGCGAACATTTTTCAGCGCTTAATGCAAAACGTCAAGTAAAACTATCTGTCCTATTCAAAGTGTATAAGAATGTTTATCAAATACTGGTGTTATGAATAAGAAGATGGACGTGGCACTCAAAAAAAATCCTAGAAAACCACGAAAATTAATCGAAAGTTCTTTGAATAATCTGATGAATTTCACCTTTTCCTTGAACCGCTAAATATGTTCCCAAAAAAGAAACAGTTCAGTGAACCTTGTTGCGATGAAAAACGCAACTTCGATGTTGTTTCAAAAAGCAGGGGCTCACTGGAGAACGTGCTTTGACCTATACATATCTATTATCGAATGCCTTTGTTTCATTTAAAACGAATAGGATAGGTTGCTACACTTTAGTATGAAATTGAAGTCTACAATCTGGTTAAGGGTTCAAAAGCGAAAATAAAAATAAGTAAACGTTAACTTTGACACAGAAGTAAAGTAAAACCAAAGCTTCTGTAAACTTGAGCCTTGAAGCAATGAAAGAAAAACCAGATTTTTTCGCAGCAATGGCTCTTTCAACGAGTCTCATTTCTCTACAAAAACGATTCTGTGGGAAAGTGTTCTCTTCGTAAAAGCTGTTTTTGTTTAACAAGTAAGCAATATCACTTTTCTATGAAATCGTTGGTTCTTTCGAAGAAAAATGTTTTTTTCTAACAAAGTCTGCCTTAACTTTTACCTTTTCTGGAGTTAACTTAGCATGGTTGCTTTCGCTTTAACTTGAAATGTTAAAAAACTGATATCTGAACTTTCAATAAAGAGGTTGAAATTTAGATATGTTAATTCAGTTATGAGTTTCGGTTTATGGTGTTGACACATCTATCTTCTGATGATGATTTTGTTTCATCAAAGAAGTGTTCTAGAATGAATAAGGTTCTTACCTGATGCATTCATTGGAGAAAATGCGACTGATCCCAAACCAGTTACGTTTATTGAAAATGGTCCTGTTACATTTCGGTTAAATGTTGTTACAACCAAAAAGTATGTTGATGCAGTATCAAGCTTAATGTATAAATGAAATTGTTGATTGCCAGCATCATCATTATTGCTTGCTAATAAATTTTGTGATGGATCTGGAGAAACGAAACTGTTGTTGTACATATAACCATAAGTGTCTATGTTACTGATCGATATAAAAGAATAGTATCCGGTAATAGAGATGTTCAAACGAAACGCTTGATAATAGTAGGCTGAATCTGAACAGTCATCCACACGACAAAACTGTTCACTTGCGTTAGTCAACATTGATGGATATTGAGAAATAATGAGGCTTGTGATGTCTAATCAGAGTAAAAAAAGGGAAAATCATACTTTTAACTCGACCTCTAAGTATCAGTTTATGAGTATCAATACAAAATAGCGAGGATCCTGTATATAAAATTTTATAAAGCTAAGTTGAAAAACGAAGTAGATTAATTGCAATGAAGGGATGCTTTCAGAGATATGATAACCACCGAAAGTGCGTACAAATAGTAGGGCGTTGTTTTCCGGATGATGGTTATTGTAAAAAAACAGTTTTAAGTTATTTTGTTGAAACGAAAGGCTCAATAAGCTTTCGTTTGAAGAAATAAAAAAGCCTTCTGGAGATACTTTTTTGGAGCAGTTTTACAAATATTCACTCATACCTATACAAATATGTATATATATAGATGATTTTGGATAGTTAGAAGTATGAATTTTTTTTTCAACACTATAGACATTGCGTCTCATTATTCAAATGGTTCAACGGTGAACAGAATAGATACATTCCCGTCATTCTCGGTTATTACGTGCATCGTGATGCCTGATATTCTCAGAATGTCACTACCTCAGGTTTGATAGATGGTTATATGGGAGTGAGTAAGAATTGTGGATGAGCACGGGAATAAACAATAGAGAAAGATCAGAAAATAATGAACCGATGATCAGAATAAAGCGAAGAGCAAAGAGAGAAGAGATGTGAACGGAAGACGATATTAATATCGGCAATCACTTGCCATCAGATTAGGCTTGCTTCTGAAATTCAGCAAAATATAACAAGCATCGGAAAACATCGCTTGAATTAGGTAAGAGAAGGAGCGACTTTTTGATTGAGAACTCTGTTATATGAAACTGTCTTTCAGTTTAGAGTTGAATTCATGTTTTGAGGTGAAAAAAAACATTGAATTCACATTATCATCATAGAGAAGACTGGAATGATTCTGAGCATGTAACGAATGACGTAAGATAACACTATCTGTCGTATTCAACCTGTATTTGAAGGTTAATCAAATACTGAATCTATGAATAACAAAGCCATGAAAATTACTCGGACATAGAGATAGTAGTGTCGACAGTTCAAAATATCGAAATAGAAGAATGTCCCAATGGAAAATTGTTAATAGTAAAGTTCTCAAAATGTAAAAATATTGGAAAATATTCAAGCTTTGAAACATACATTTTTAAGATAGTTGTTACATTTAAAATTACTAAGAGTGAAAATTTAAGCATAAACAGTCAATGACTAAAACGATGTTGACAGTAACAAACGATTAGTAATTATATTTATATCATAATTATTATTATTGGTTGATTACGTCACCTATTCAAATATTCAATAGTAAAATCTTGATACAGTAGTGTTACATCGACTTCTGCGGATTCAACTTTTAATGCAAAGGAAAATTGATGTTTCATCACGTCAAGGAAAGTGTTGTTAATGGATGCTCAAGTCATGTTCATACAGATGAACATGATGTATATTTGTGTAGAGGTAAATGCAATCATTATCATGAATCAAATTTAGATTTAATCCGAACGATATGTCTTCCTCAAACAATGAAGAAACGCGTTTTAAATGAATTAACAACTATTGGTATTATATATGAAGAAGAAATGGCAAAATCAGCACTTAGTGCTGCTGGTGTTGTTACATTTCCTACCAAATCAAGAAGTTTGTGACTGATTATGGAAAAAGGTATAAGTGAATTTTTTTAAATTTTACATTTAGATCAAACTTTCGGCAAAGTTCATGGAAAAATTCTCTCTCCTCTTCCTCAATCATGTTTATTTACTATTTCGGACCGTTATAAACTGACTAATGATGGTAAATACTTTTTATTATTGTACGAGCCACGTGTGAGGATAGGAGTGTGGGTTGGTGTGAGCTTGAGTGTCAGCTTCGATGAAGAGAAAACTCACAGTTGCACACACCCATACCCACACCCTCTTACAATAATGCCACAGGAAACTGTCTTGTGTACATTTGAAGAAGTTCGTAAAGTTGCTTAAATTTTACCAAACTCGTCAATAGAATCATAATTAAGTTGCTTTGAAAAAAATTGGTTATCAAATCTTGATATGTGGAATGCATATACACCTGACTCAAGAACGAATAATATGTGTGAGGTTTATCTTCAAATAGACTTTGTTTCAATGACTACTGTTGTCTTTTGTTATTCAAGTTTATCACAGCAGAATAAACTACCTCATTCTTTGCAACCATCCTAGTATTTGCCAGATTATAAAATTCATGCAAACAGAAGAAAAAATACTTCAACTAGTTATCATCCAGTGGTCTACTGATGCATTAGAATAACAAAATCTCCGACTCTACTTTCATACAAAATCACATCAATATTCTTTATGCCAGATATAATAGTGGTGTCATGAGCTCATCAGATCTACTTTCTGGCTTATCATTACTTGTTGAAACAGAAAGGAAATCGATAGGAAATATATTTATGACTAGATTTTAATTATTCATCCAAGTTAATTTCGTTTTTTAAACACATTTTCATTGCAAATTTTTTAACAAATAAAATTTTTATTAAATGGAGATAACATATTGAATTTTTTCTCGTTGGTAGATCTATAACTAATATTGTTTCAATACTTGAATCAGTCGACATTTTTATTTTCGACCAAAGTAGTATTTACCAATTGGAATACTTGTTATGCAAAAAATATGTTTTTTGTAAAAAAAGAAAATCTGGTTTAGCTCTCCTTTTTCTTGAAGTTTAACGTCGACCGCTAGAAAAGAATTACTCTACGTTGCTATATTTAGTAGTCTGCATATCTTTATACACCTATCTTTTGATGAGTATTGTGTTCCATTAAAAAACTCCTCTGAAGTAGATAGAGTTCTCACCTGATGTATCCATCGCCGAAAAAGTGAGAGGTACAACACCAGTTGCGTCTATTGCAAATTGACCTGTGACATTCGGATCATATGTGGTTACGACCAAATAGTATGTTGTTGCTTTGTCAAGCCAACTGTGCAAAGGGAATTGCTGGTAGCCGGCGCTGTCATTATCGATTGATATCAAATTTTGAGACGGAGCGAGATAAACGAAACTGTTCTTATACAAATAGCCAATGGTATTCATGTTGCTCTTCGATTCAAAAGAATAGTTCCCAGCAATAGAGACGTTTAAACGAAGAGCTTGATAGTAGTAGGCAGATGCTGAACAGTCACCTATGCGACAAAACTGTTCACTGCCGGTGGTTAGCTCCGATGAATATTTTGAAGTGACCAACCTCGTAGTGTCTAATCAAAGAAGAATAAGAAAATTACACTCTTGATTTAGTCTTGTAGTAGCAATTTAAGGTAACACAGCGGAAATATAAAAGGCGATAAACATAGAACTTTTTGTAACTAAAGAAGGACCTAAAAATATTCAGCGTTATAAGCACCTTCATGAATAATGTGAATAACTATATTCTTCCTAGTTTCTTCTCAGTGTACAAAGACCGGAAAATTTAGCATCGTCGTTTTGAGAATAGTATATCTATTAGACGTATCATTTTTGATTTATGTAAGATTTGAGCGGCTAATCAAATTATTCGTTATAGGATCCTAGAAATTGAATAAAACCTGATATAAAGTTCCTGTTCTACCACCATGAATAAGTGAGTCACTTTAGCTGTATTAAGGCTCCTTAGTAATTTAATGCTTTCGAATAAAAGTTTAAACTCACTATCTCTAACGAAACATAATTGGTAGAATTTGTCTTTAAATTGCTTTATAATAATGTACGAATATATGTATCTGAGACGAAGTCAGACATGAAACAATTAGTGTTTCTTATTATTGCACCTCCACACTTTTCTTAGGATATTTCTATGAGAAATTTAATCGGAAAAAACGAATGAAGGCGATATGTTGTAACTGAATACATGTATGCCTTGTTTTGACTGTTCCCATTTGGGAGTACTAGTTGGAAAAAACATATAGTCTCTTTAGCGAACGGGTATCAACAAGGATAGTCGTCTAGGAATACATGCTTTACACACTTCATGATAATAAACAAAAACTGTTTCATATGAATTGTGTTCAATTCTTACGATTCGCTAATGCAAATTTTAACTATATCTTCAGCTCTCATAAAACTGCAAAATGATACGTCTCTTAGAGGTAACATTTTTCCATAGAAGAGGTTTGATTCTATGATATTCCTAAAGTTAAAAGAGAGCTTAGAAGACATTATCATAGATAATGCTTATGAACATTCTTATGAGATAGAATACTTCAAAACGTATCAGGAAATATACTCAAAAATGTTCCTTCATAACAGTGTAGGTAGTTGCATAGACATCAGGATACAAGTATCAATATAAAGGTGCAAGGCTACAAGTATAAAGCAATAGGTGTAAGAATATACAAGTGAGAGGATAGATATAAGGGCATATGCGTGATGACCACAAATACATATAAATAAACATATTTTTGTGTAAATATACAAGGATAAGGATAAGAGTATGATAAATCGTTGGAAGCAGGTTTCGACACCAAAATAATGAGATTCTTTTGTCATAGGCAATATAAACCAGGAACAAGACGAAAAAAGTCATTCATACATTTTTATCCGTATTTGTATAATAGTAGACTGATGTGATTAATCTGACTTGGAAAAAAATCAAATACTGCTGAAGAAGCTAAATTGTACCAGTTAACTGGCATTGTTTCATGTCTGATTACAATTCAAATTAAAATCAAAACCTGTTACAAAGTAAAAAACAAGACCATCAATCAAAAGTTTTAAACCTTTGTTGCCTACATTAAGTTTCAGGGAAAGATAACTTTGATGACATAATTTTATATCAAATTCAATGTTCCAATGCTATTCAGAAGGTAAATCTATAAATCCAAAAAATTTTACTTTTCCAGGAGCTACTATTTCCTAGGGTGATAGAAATACGTTAGAATCATTCAACCACAGTTTGTTCACCTATTTTTTTCTTGTTGCGCTACAACACATAATTTTATGTAAAGAAAAACAGCTTCTCATTTTAATTGAAAAGATTTCATCAGATGTTTCTGAGTTGATGTAACGAACCGGTTCTATCTAGTGGAATCTTCAGAATCCCTGCTAAGACCTACTAATTCTAGGATAAGATGACTGTGAGTATCAGAACAATACTTTAAGATTTATCTAGGGACCTAAAAGTATCATAAAAGAATAGTAATCATTATATAAATTCCTTAAGTTGATTGATGAATGGTTTTTGAATTAAAAGTTGCTTTACCTATGAAATGCCTCTTTATTAAATTAACTTAAAATCTATATCATAATACCCTAGTGAAACACCAGTGTTCATTCAATCAAAATATCTGGTTAACCTTTAATAATGCTGTAAGCACCAAAAATTTCAAAAAAAACTAGAGAATTGGATCCTTTTCATTTTTTTTGGGCTGCGTATAATTAGATAATTTTTGCTTTTAGGACATAAATTTCATTTATTTAAAATTTTGCATTACATTCTTTAAACAATTGGTTACTAGCGTTAGTTGTTGCTATGCCTTAAACTAATAAAAAGTCAGCGCTGTAACTATCTACAATACTGGCCGTTCGTATTTAATATAGTGACATATTTCTCTAGCAATAATTTTTGTACCATGCAACCTAAGAAAACTATGTTACATATGTCGTATTTTGTGGTGCAATGTACGACATTAAAGTATAGTACGAAATGCGCCTAACCGCACGTTCTGAAAACATTGTTTGAATCTAGTAGTCAGCACATATTCAATTTCCCCCTATCGAATCAAATAATGACATATTTTTTCAATTTATTTCGAGTTAGTTATATTCATTCTTAAATTTAAAAGTAGACTAGTCTTGAGATCTATCTGTCTTGGTCTGGCTACTACAAGAGAGTCTTCTCTTGATTATCGATAGATCTCTAGTCATGTTTTCGACTAATAACTAGTTGAAAAATAATCGAGGAAAAAAAGACATAAGAAAATGAATAAGTTTAGCATGTTCGATTGGCTTCACCACATGTAGTTGTATATGCAAACAAAATGGTGAATAAATAGTCAGCAGACAGACTACAGCACAATGTAGTTGTGGGACATGTTCCTGGTACTCTGCGACATTATAACTAATAGTGACACATAAGCATGACATATTTTACTCGAGTGTGAAAAAAACTTATAAACATAGATAATGAAGGAAAAGCTTTCAAAGCAATTTCTACAACATCAAAATATAAAATATGATGGAGCTAATTTAGCTATCTTAGGAAATCAGCGGATGAAAAAGCGAAAAATCCGTACTTCAATGTACTTCAATGGTATGCCAAAGCTATTCTCTAGAGCTTCAAAGCCGGTTCAAATCTAGTATCAACGTATGCCACAAGCATATTAGTTTGAGTTGATTTTATATGAATTTCCCCGACACTTAAATCCAAATACTTGATTGTACTTCAAAATTTGAGTATCACTCAAATTCGATGAATTATTTGAGCATTACCGCTTCACATGTTTGTAGGAAATGAGCTCAAACTAATATGCATGTAATACCTATTGATAGGAGACTTGACGCAGCTAAAGAGCTATGAAAGACACTTTTGGCATGCCCTTGACGTATGCTGACGTACGGTGACGTACGAAATTTGGCCTTTTCTCTCCATCAGAGAAATCTCATCCATTTTAGATCCAAGTATTGTTTGACTTTTTTTGTAGAGTTATGACACGTAAGCTTGTGTCCTACTTGCTTCACCATCTCAAATATTCTCGAAGAATCTTTTATATGCAGATAATATTCGTTAAGGCTAAAAAAAGAATGTTACACATAGTGCTGGTAACAATCTTCTATCACGGACACAGTGTATGTGTAGTTTATGAAAAGTGCATTGCACATGATCTCGCGTGAGTTGATTCCTCATTATCCTACACGTTTTTGGAACCATTTTTTGTATACCGATATTATTCATTCAGACTAACAAAGCTATCAAAAAGTTACCATCATACATACTGCGTGTTGCCCTTTTATAATCGCGTACTCCATGGGTCCTATACTATATGCATGACACATAGTCATGCGTGAGTACGTTTTCCTTATTTAAATAAACTTAAAGTCGTTATTCTGTGTAACAATATACTGGTATTGCCACAAAACCTTTGATGAAAATAAAATAGTAAATATCTTGCAAACAAAACATCTAGAAAAAATACATGCAGCAAAAATCGGATTTTTCACACTTTCCTAAATTTGTTTCTTTCATCTTTTTGTAGAGCTTTACTTCTTTTTTTTCTTTAAATTAGATATGCTTTATTCTTAAATTTTGTCATTCTAGATTTGATGACATTTCTTCATTTGTTTGTACAAAAAGAAGCCTAAACTGAAGCAAGAAATGCTAGTGCATTGTCTCTGCATTAAGACATACTATTTTTGCATATTAGAACTTAGCACCACTCACTATTTGGACGTCAAACTTCAGCAGTGTTTGGATAGAACTGTAAAGAATCGAAGTGCTCTCGAAAAATGATTGAAAATTGAAAAGATAACAATTTCTATAGATTTGACCCAACCAAGATGGAACAACCAAGTCTTTGACGTTTAACCATCCGTCATTATTGAGTTGAAAAGAAAATCAAAATGCATACCTGGCGCATAGTTAGGAGATCTTGATCCCAAAACAGAACCGAGAATAACTGCTAGGATTAACATAGCTGCCAATATGCTGACTGGAATGATGAATCGTTTCTTGTTATACCAACGACGTCTCGTTGGTCTAATAAAACATTTCGTCAAAAATACAATTAGATGAAGATGTATCGAAACTTACTCAGGTTTTTTCGGATAAAGGCATGCACCTATATATAGAAATATTTTAATTCGAAACAAATTGTTTAGATTATTCAACATGTCTTAGTCGAAGAACAAGTAGACATAATACAGAGTAAAAGAAATTGAATGTATGCCGCAAAAGACATCTTGGGATAATAACTGATAGAATTGCAATTGTAGGACTTTTGGTATCATTCAAACATAGCTAGTACTACAATATGACATCAAACAACTGCCGTTAAGACTCAGACTGTTCGTCTACAATCTATAGTGTGTTCGAAAAGTTAATTACCAAAAAAATTGTGTATCCCTTCCGCATTTTTACGAAATGAACTTATTTTTCCAAATGATCAAGGAAAGTTGCAAGTTTTTTTTTCATAAACCAATCACTTTTTAATACATTTAAGAACAAATACTACCAACTTCGATACAAAATTTGTTTTTTTCTCGACACTTTCATCAGTAGCTGACCATCAAACAGCAAAGCTATCTGCAGATTCTTGGGACAGATCCCACTTCGTAAAGTTCATTTTGCTGATCATTTTAACGAAAACAACCTTCGATTTTCGTTGACAACGACGGTACTAGGGTCAAACTGTTGGAAAAACGTGAAAATTTTCGGAAGTTCTACAGTCCACAACTACTTGTACTCAGCTTGAATGATTGTCGATGAGCATAGAAAACGTTTTTTATTAAAATGGTCAGTAAAAAGGCCTCTACAGAATGGAATCTGTCAAAGAAAATGTTCGGATATCTTTTGCATTTTTGTGGTTGATAGTCCATACATGTGCCCAACGAAAATTTAACTGTGCTTACACGGCTTTGTCAAGAATTTTCATTGTGAGAACATCTGGGTGGATATTGTGAGGTCTCGAAGAGTACATAGAGGTTAGCAAAAACTCAAATATTGCAACTAGTTTATTTTAAATATTGAGAAAACCGAAGGACATGAGAAATTTCAACTATATTACGGACACCTAAAATATTTCATTTATCTTCGGCGAAAAGTGTAATTTTCGATCTGTTTTGAGTAGATAATAATGTTTTAAACAGTGCTACTAGACTTTTTACTTATGAATAAGCGATTGGAACTCCTCTCTATAATTAAAGCATAAAGCTCATCTTGCCAAAATAGTGCGAGAATTACAAATTTCTTTTTGATAGATGACTTCACGGCTTATCTGCACGTACCGCATTGTTCAGCATTTTTCTTTCATTGTGATTACTATCTCATCTGTTCATACAGGCAGACAAGACATTAATCATGAGTCATAACAATGTAATAGAAAGCTCAGTGAGTCTCCATCCGTAAATTCCAAGCCAGATATTAATATGATTAGTGCCTATCTCATTATACATTATTTAATTGAAAGAGCAATCCGATGCATGAATTTTCTGCTCTTTGAAAATCTAAGAGAAAATCAGACATATATCATGGACATAACTAATATATATAACACTTACATGCACAGAGCTACAGAACAGAACAGACAAATGGGAAGCAATAATATGTCATATAATATCTATGCGACAGAGAAAGACATACTATGTTAAAGAGATGTAGAGAACACACCTGACCAGAATCATCATATTTAAAGACGGAACTTATAAAGAAAAAGAAGCATCCCTCACAATGCGTATGAAGTCTGGTTACTTAATAACAACACAATAGAAGGCCGCGGACATAAACACACAGATGACATGAGAGCTATTAATAAGTCGAACAAATGGCTATTCACTGTTTTATAGAGTTCATAATGATTCTAGAATGAAGGCGAAAGTTCTATAATTGCAATCTATTAATGCTATCAGATAATCATTTTTATGGCAGTCATTCTATTTTTTTCTGATATTTTAGCTTTTCAACCTACCTTCAAATGGAGGCTCAAGTAACATATTGTCTGGTACCATCTGTTTCAAATGAATGATGTGAAGATCAGGCGCCGGATTGAATTGTGATTGCACTTCCATGTATGTCCCTGGTAGCAATAAAATTTCGTCCTCGTTGGCAAAATACGAATGATTTCGTATATTTCTAGCGCTAAAAGTGTCGATGGAGAAGAGAGTTCTAGTCCCTTCTTGGCCCAAGTAGAGATCATTCTCTAATACAGGAAGCGTTGTTGTGCAAGA